AGTGGGTTTTAGGGAAAACTTTGGCATAACAGTGAGCAAAGACAAATAAATTAGAAAGGTTAACCCAAGTCCATGACACTTGTTATACTTGAAGTTTTCATTCAGAAGCTTTGTAGGTACAACACATTCTATTGCTGTTGTTGAGATTGGGATAAACAGTGATTTTAGTTTGTTTTTATCTTTTAGAATGCGTATCACAACGTGACTGCAGAGCAGCTCTTTTTGAAGGACATTATAGAAAAGAACTTTGTAATCAATTTGACTCAAGATTGACCCTACAGACAGAGAAGATAATGCTGACAGTATTAGTTTTATTTTTATACTGGCAATTTATAGTTTATTTTAAAAAACGTTGGATGTACTTGTCAAGAAATTATGTATATTAAGTCTGTTGCTGCCTGGTGATTTCATAATCACCAGCTTAATTTCTGTAAATATATTTAATTTATGAAAACCAACATATACTGAGTTACCATGTCCGGCTAAAGTTGTAATTGCATTGTGTTTTTAATATTTTTAGTTTTCATTTTAGACTTTTGAAAGGATGTGACTTCCTAATAAGGGGACTTAAGTTGATGGCAACAAATCTGAATGCAAAATGACATATTTGGCTACTATAAAATGGTGGGGCATTGGCATGTGGTTGTGCTTTGATGTGGCAAACTAGAAGCACACCAGGTCTATATCTGGCTGACTTTGGTGTCTTTTTGTTCTAATTAAGGAACATGAAGTTTAAACCAGCTCTGAATACAGCAGAGTGGACGGTTATAGAAATCTAAGGTCATACTGGTATAATTAGGCTCCCTCGTTGCGATTAAGTAAATCACAATTATGATGAGTAATTAGGTAGAATGAAGATGGTATTTTTTGTTTTTAAGTTTATCTAGACGAGTAACCAAAGAGTGTAATTACTAGTCTGGTGACTGCATTATGTTGAAGAAATTTTTTAAAAAGTTTATACAAAGAAAGCTGAGTAAGACATGCTCAAGGAGAAAATTCTTAAACTTTGTTTTGCCTGATTTAATTCATTAACCTTTAAAAATTTATTATTTGAAGTAAATTAGGAAAGATGAAAAAGACACAAGTAAATCCGTAGGAAGAGTCAGGGTGTTCTTGGATTTAGATGGTATTTTCATCTCTCATCTTCACATGGAAAGCTCACCTGACTAGGATACTCCAGTGAAGAATCCTACGGATGCAAAGAAGCCAGTCCTACAACTGTGGTGAGCTGGTCTCCCTTCCCATAATGAATATAACTAACGGCTATGGTGGGGTAGGATAAGTGGTGAAGGAGAAAGGAAGAGAACAGAAGGTATAAGAATGATGGAATAAAAAGCTATCAAAAGAGGTATGAGTTGAAGAATTAGTACCTTTTTAAAAAATATATATTTTTATTGATTTCAGAGAGGAAAGGTGAGGGACATAGAAACATCAATGATGAGAATCACTGATTGGCCGCCTCCTATTGGGACCTCAGCCTGGGCATGTGCCCTGACAGGGAATTGAACCTTCGACCTCCTGGTTCATAGGTCGATGCTCAACCACTGAGCTACGACCGGGCAAGAATTAGTATCTTTTGAATAATTACCACTGGGAGACATTGATGTCACTGACAATCAACCTGCCTCTCTAAAGAAAGTGTAGAAAGGGTGGAATAGTAGACCAGAAACAGGAATAAATAAGGTACTTAGAAAGCAGGAAGGGGGGGGGGGCAACTAGTAGTAGATTTAATCCAGATCTAGACATTAAATATGGATGTTGTCCTGTTAATAGCATACCACTTTTATCTGATTCTTCTAGTAACGTTGAGGTGGAAAAGGCAGGAGCCATCCTAAGTCCCCACGTTCAGTGTCCTTTCCCTGCCACTGCACAGCCGGAGGTTGCAGCGGGGCTGCTGGAGTAACTCCAGCTTCAAAAAGGATACTGCGGCTACAGAAAAAATCAAAGTCAAAACCAATGGTGGCATTCCCTAATGTTACTGTGAACAGTATAACATTGGCCATTAAATTTTCTGACTGATGTTCAAATTCAGGAATCTGGCTTTTTGTGTAGTATAAGAAAAGGCTATAAACCTCAAGGTGGTTTTCGTTAAGCAAAAAAAAAAAAAAAAAAATCTGAGCAAGACACATATATACAATTTATTAAAAACACATGAACACATTAAAATCTCACTATTTATACAATCTAAATTCTAGCAACATATACAAATACTGAGTGACTACAGTACATGCCGAGGTAAGAAAAGTACATTCTGGGAGAATTTCACTGACACTTAAGCCATTTTTGTTTCCAATATGTATTTCAATACGTGTTTTGTTTCCACCCTTCCCAGTGTCAAAAAAAAAAAAAAAAAAAAAAAGAGAGAGAGAAAGAGATGAAGAAATTAGCCACAAGATGGTGTGACTAAATGAGAATTGGTACCACACTTGACCTAAAAAGTACTTTAATAACCATCCAACTCTTCAGATTTTGCAGTTTAGGGACTTCAAGTTTAGAACTAAAAGGCAAAGCAAATAGATAATTTGTTCTTCATTAATTTCTCTTAAAAAGGTCTGGAAAGCATAATCTGTTAGTTCTTTTTAATCATATCACCTGACATGGTGCTTTTATAGCCATCCTGCTCTCCAGGTGACAATGTGGAGTCAAGGCAAGTACCTTAAAGCTTTACCACTTTCCATACAATTAGAGCGGCATTCATATTTAGATGAGCTCCCTTTCTGCTCCCTGCTGTGGGAGGAAGGGCAAGTACATACACAATGTCATAATTTCAATTACTGTATAAATTTTCTACTCGAACCATTTCGTCAGCAAACTAAACCCATTGTTCAATGCAAAGTGCAAATAGTGAAACATGAACTTAAATAACTGGACCAGATCCTGCATACAATAGGATCTATTTAGATTTACAGCTTTTAATAAAATATAAGTCAGCATTCACAATATCTTACCTCTAACTGTGCTGGTTCCTAAGATCAAGTAACAGCGAAGTCAGTGTAATTTTACAAAACATGTAATGGCCACACTTGCTGCACCACTGTTTGATTCTATTTTTAGAATTGTATTAATAGGAAAAAAATTTAAACCAATAAACCACAGTGACTTAAGTCTTTTACATATTTCAAGCAAAGAATAAAAATTCAAGGACATTTTTGTAAAAAATGGTTACTTTTCACATTTTCAGTTGTTACTTGATTGTCTCCAAAGCTGTGTGTGTGTGTGTATATGTATGTATGTATGTTTTCCCCCATATATATATATATATATATATATATAAAATCAGACAAAACAAACAAAACCCAAACCCCAAAACTCTACTATGAAAACAAACTAAAAGAAAAAGTACAAAACCAGAACAACCCTTTGTATCAGGCTCAGCTCTTCATTTTGAAAGTAAAATATATAAAAGTAGTAAAAACTAGATATTTGTAAGAATCATTGGCAATTCAAAGACAGCACAGTGGCATTTTGAATCAAGTCTTAAAACATGCATCATTTAAGAAAACATTTGCTTCTCAAAAAAAAAAAGGTTTCATGGGAAAAGGAGGTGCACACAGTTACACAAAAATAGCAAGCATCTTTGGGAAAACAAAATAGTTATTGAAAACATTTCTCTTAAAGCTTCAAAAAGGTATATGATTCTAGGAAAGGTATATTCTCTCTGCACTAAGGATGAATAAAAAAATAAAGCGATTGGTTTACTCTCTTCCCACCTGAAAGGGGATGGCTGCATTAATACATGTGCTTTACACATTCATATGTTCTAATAAAAGTTCAACACCTGTGCTTTTTGTTTCAAATATTTTGAAACAAAATATGGATTGGGTTTTCAATGAATAAAATTATGCTTCATAGTATGTATGGAAAAGGAAAAGAAAATGAAAATAAAACCAACAAGATTATACAAGGAGAGGGCAGGAGGCTGTAGAAATAAACAGTTCTATCTGGAAGCAATGTTTTAGATTACTGATATACTTGTGGAAGCAACAAAATGAAGACTGTTCACCTTCAAATGTAGCAAGTTCTGGCAACATCATAATCTGGTGGCCCAGGCTAACAGAAATGAGTAGGACCTGATGGAATGGAAAAGTACATTTCCATTAAGACTACAAATTAAAGTATATAGAAGGGATTTCAAATTTTAATCACAGGGGCAGCTTATGTCGTGTTGCCAGCCTAAAGACTTTTAATCATGGCTTTTACACTCTAGGCTGATAAACTACAGATGAGTTCTAGTTCACCCATCTAAACTTAGCTCTGTTCTGGGTAATTGGTAACAAGTGCCCAGGGGAATAAAAAAAGACACATGAATAGCCACGTGTGAGGATGCTATAAACCTCTTCCCTACGTATGAGATAAAGAACTACTCACCCTCTCACATATGGATGAGGCACAAATGCACCTAGTTTATAGTTTGCTTTGGAAAACTAAAACACACACAAAAAAACCAAAACATACCTTGAGATTAAAAAAAAAATCTACATATTTCAAAAGGGGGCAAATTCTGGTTACCTTTTTTAAAGGTAATTTACAGGACTTCTGAAGAATGATTTTGCCTTTGCTGTGATAAATATAAGTGGGGCATGTTTACAGCATCTACTTGGAAGCTGTAAACTTCACAACCCTCCTAGAAAAAAATCCCATTGCAAATAAAGTTGGAGGGGAGGAGTATCTCTTTCATCGCTTTTTAGAGAGGATCTCTTTTATAGCTTTTTTAAATTGCAAAGTTCCTGTTTCTACAGTGAGAAGTAAACTTAAACACATTAGAGGATCTGAATTCATGAAGTTTGATAGAACAAGTATAACCCACTGAAAAAAAACATTGTACAAACACAAGAACGGGCTGGCCATCAAGGCCCCAGGCGGAATAAGCAGAGACCTCCTGAAAACATGTACCGTGGGTGTCAAAGCACCTGAGTGTCAAAAAGTGACTATCACCCTGCTCATTAAATCGGAGTTTCTCACCTGTGCTCTTCTTAAGGAAAAATGGATACGTGTGTATGACTGCAATCAAAACAATGATTATGTATCACTAATTATTATTTTTTTAAACCCAGAAAGGAATACAGGAATAGAAGAGGAGGAAATCATGATAGTACCCACCTTCACACAAAGCAGAATTTCAAGCCATTAGACATTTCAAGAACAGTACCATGCATTATTGCCAGTCAGGCTTACAAAGCCTTATTGAGTTCATCAAATGTACCTGCAGCATTGGTAATAAATACTTTCAGTGATTTTTAATTTCTTTGAAGTGCATAGTAGGGAGCTTTTTCTGTATTAAAAAATAGTGTTTTACAGTAGTAACAAACAGGATGTTCGAAATTTAACAGGCAAGCAGTAACTGCTACAACAACACTTCTAAAGCAAGATGGCAAGATTAGTAGTTTCCTGTACCTCGGTCATCACACTTCCCCCACTACATCCGTGACAGATATGTAATACATTCTATATATTACTACCACTAATAGAAAAAAAAAAAGGCCATGTGCTTTAAAACGATGCTTTGTAAAAAGCAGCATCACCTTCAAAGGATTTCTTTTAAAACATCACTGTCGCCATCCCTCCCTGTTCCTGACACCTCCTGTGTGCTCTGTGGCACCTGGTACACCAATTCCTCTGGGGCACTTGGACCTGGCTTCCCACCTTTTGGGGTATCATACTGGGCCCGGGCTGAGGAGCAGCTGTCAGTCCTGGCGAGAAGAGTGTTGTATGTTCCCACTAAAGGAGGAGGCTGGTTCCCTGTAGCTTTGAAAGTGGACGTTGAGGGTAGACCAACTGAAGCTGGGGTGTGCCCCGAGATATCCATGACAATGGGGGTTGCATACTCAGGCCCTGTAATTGGGAGTGGTTCGGCGTAGGCGTGATACACTTCTTGCATCGGGGAGTTGTAAGGATCTAGGTCAGCATAGCCTGTTTCTTTTCCTTCTTCTGGTTTGAAGGTCGACCTCTGATGAAGTGTGCCAACAATTCCTCCCACAAGCGGCTGGGCATACTCTGCGAGTATCACAAAGGACAACAGAAATGTTACCTCATTGATATGGGCCTCATATAATTTAGGGTGCAAGCTACAGACTTAAACCAAAGCAAAAATTTCTCCATGGAAATTTTGTTGCTATCAACACAGACTCTGTAAGGACCAACTTCAAAAATTAAAATTAAAGATGTTATCTTGTGTATCATGGTAATAAGTTAATATGCCAGAACACCTCACTGTTCATGTAATTTTGCATCAAGAGTGTTTGTATATGTTCTTAAGATACATACAGTCTTTCACTAGAAAAGAAATTTTCCATTGTTGGAATAGTATTAGAATATAATTTCAGTTGTTTTTTCCCCCAAATATAAGGAAATGTTTACAATAAGTACAGGCCAGGTTAATGTGATAAATGCTGTAAGTCTCACTATGTCTTTCTTTTTATACAAATAATTCTGTTATTTATTTATTTTGAATAAAAAGTTGGCCACGATAATACTAGTGGCTCTGGGTACAAAACACAACACATTTGAGGTTATTTCATCACATTTTTACAGAACTGCCATTATGTACCGCACTTGATATTCACAGCAACTTTATTAGACTCTAAGGACTAGAATCAGATGAGCAACAGAGAAACCAAAATGGGGAAAAGCTAAAAACCAGTGATGTTTCCTTAGCTAGAGAGCTGGCCAGCAGCTGACTGGTAAGGACAGAGGGTCTGTTACACCTTCTTTAGTAATAACAGGGCTACACATTGACAAACACCCTCCAAGATTTCTATTACATTTTCTCTATAATCTGCCCCACTTCGAACTTTCCCAGAAACCTCTGCCCTAACAGGACATAAAAGCTCAGGACACTGGTGCATGTTCAGGAAAGGAAGGCTGAATGGTGCTGAGGACATGGCACGGTCTGGGTCAGCCCAAGAAGCTCAGTTCACATCCAAGAAAGAAGTCGACCCTCTTTAGTCATGAGGTTCTCTGCAGTTTTGAACTCTGGGAAAAGTGAACCATGCTCCATCTTAAAGGGGCAGGAAGTTCCTCACTGACTCTACATACCACGAGTACCTTCCTTCCTGTGCAAGGCGCTGCCCTTTGGTGCTGCTGGAGGTACCAAGACGGAACAGACAGTTCCTGCCCTCGAGGAGCTTACAATCTAATAATGAACACTATGTACATGTGTGCAATTGAGAAAAGCAGCCATTTTTCTGGATAGCGGGATATTCCAAGCAAAATGTGTTGTTGTTCTTTTTGAAAATATATTTTTATTAATTTCAGAGAAGAAGGGAAAGGGAGAGAGAGAAATATCAAGGATGAGAGAGAATTATTGATTGGTTGCCTCCTGCACACCCCCTACTGGGAATCGAGCCTGCAACCTGGGCACGTGCCCTTGATCGGAATTGAACCCGGGACCCTTCAGTCCACAGGCCGACCCTCTATCCACTGAGCCAAACCAGCTAGTGCTGTTATTCTTAAAAGTTATCATTTAAACATGAAGCATTATCACACCACCTAATGAAATGGCAAACATTTTTTTTAAATCTTCCTTTTATAACCTTAAGTTTTTAGATGCCTGTTCTTTTTATTTCAAAAAATGTAAATGCAAACATACAAAAATTCAAAGTGGAACACAAAGATGCACAGGCATTGGGTAAACAAACTACGTATCAGTACACACAACACAGACTTATTTTGTATACCAGTGACGGCGAACCTTTTGAGCTCGGCGTGTCAGCATTTTGAAAAACCCTAACTTAACTCTGATGCTGTGGCACATATAGAAATTTTTTGATATTTGCAACCACAGTGAAAGACTTATATTTTTGATATTTATTTTATATATTTAAATGCCATTTAACAACGAAAAATCAACCAAAAAAATGAGTTCGTGTGTCACCTCTGACACGCATGTCATAGGTTCACCATCACTGTTCTATACAGTGTTATTTTTGTATAAACAAGTTTGATATTCCCTTTCCTTTCACACATTAAAGTACAATTCTAAGTCAGTCTTGAAAAGACTTAACTGATTTTTATATTCTATATAATACCAAAACCAGATATCCTAAACCCTCTCAGTCTGTTAGCCAAGTGACAAACTGATGAAGTCTGAAATGCCTCAAGGCCACCACAGCCTCTTACATCCTCTAATGCGACTACTTTGCAGGATCTTCCTGTGAAAATAACAGGATTTCATGATGGCAAAGTAAGCAACTCTTTACCTTATATATACACATAAGATTCAGAGTTCTGAAATGTAACTCTCTCAACCCACTTACAGTATTTCAACCAGACAGCCTATACCCCTGCTTTGTTGGCACGGGAGTTCCACCTGTCCCTTTTCAACTCCCCCCAAGCCTGGAGTGAACGGACAGACACCGTGTTGGCAACCCCATAGTACTGCTCTAACTAAACTCATTCCCTAGGACCTCAGGTGGGGTGGTATGTCTCCCCACCAGAGTACAGTTATAACTCAAAGAAAAGGCAAGCTACGAAAAGCAGAGCCACCCAAACTGGATAAAGATTGGGGGAGAAATATTCATACACCAAAAGGAGTAACTTCTTCATAGGACACCTTTAAGCAATTTCCCTGTTAAATTTGTTAATTTCACACCAAATTTTCAGAAACAGCCCTGTCTTAAAACAAACTATCTGCACGTGGGAGGCTGCAGCCCATCGACCAGCTAACAGTCCTCACACTGATGGACTGCAGTGCCCTGGGAACAAGCTCACAATCTCCCGGACACTCGGCCGTTTCATCAGGTGCTGAGGCTATAGTACTTGAGATTATTGGAAGCAACTCTACATCTGTAAGTCTGACTTCATTAAAGAACAGTCAAATTTCACGTGCTTTATAATCAGTTTGAATAGCGGAGATCATGTTAGCAGATGTGAAGATCTTAACTCCAAAAGCCCCTTTTAGCTTCAAGAAAGAACAGGTAAAGTTTAAAGCTCTGCACCTTGAAACATAGTCTAAAACAGCCGTGGGCAAACTACGGCCCGCGGGCCAAATCTGGCCCGTTTGAAATGAATAAAACTAAAAAATAAAAAGACCGTACCCTTTTATGTAATGATGTTTACTTTGAATTTATATTAGTTCACACAAACACTCCATCCATGCCAGGCACCCCAGTGGGGACCCCCACCCTGATCCAGGACACCTCGGTCCAGTTTAAGAACCCATTGTGGCCTTCGAGTCAAAAAGTTTGCCCACCTCTGATCTAAAACTATGGTTAAAGCTGCCAATGGATACTTCCACTAAAAACTAAAATGAAAACCACGTGAGTAGGTTAGACCCTTGAGGGGAAGGTGACTCCGGACACACTGCATTGCTAATCCACCAATACACAGAAGGGCGGCTTAAGTGCTTCAAGATACATTCACAACGAATGACCAAGCCAGGCAGAGGCCAGGCAGAGGCTCGAAGCTGCCCATGCTGGGCTAACTATAAAGAGATTCATTTGTCTTACTGTTTGTGATGCCCAATCTCTTAACAAGAAAAAAGGGCAGAATGTATCTTTCCTTTAAAAAATTTAGGCTGCCTGGCCTGGCGGATGTGGCTCAGTTGGTTGAGTGTCATCCCATACACCAAAAGGTTGCTGGTTTGATTCCCAGTCAGAGCACATGCCCCAGTTGTGGGTTCGATCCCCAGAGGGGGTGTGTGAGAAAGGCAATTGATCGTTTCTCTATCTCTCTTCCTCTCTCTAAAAATGTAGGCCTTCTGACTCTGAATATAACCCATTCAGTTTAACTTTAACCAGAATTTTTGCTTGTCAAGAATAGTATTTGGGCCCCGGCAGGGTAACTCGGTTGGTGCACCATCCCTTACACCAAAACATTACACATTTGATTCCCTCTTGCTCTTCTTTTAATACTCTTATATACTCAATAAAACCAAATAGATTTCCAGTTAAAGAGACAAAAAATGCCCATAGTTTTTAGAAATGAATGGCTCAGCTTTACAGATAGAACAGCTGAGGCACAGAAATGACTCTCTCAAGGTAATCTTTAAGGAAGTGGTCTACTTTGGAAAACAGCTCATCTCTCACACATGAAAAATATAAAAGACGTTGTAAATCCCAAAGCGCCTCACAGCAAGCAGAGCAGGCCCTCCCTCTGCCTGGGGCTGAAGGCTCCCGGAGTTACCTGCAGAGTCGGTCTGCAGCATTGTGGTGACCTCTCTCGCACTCAGGTGATTGACTTCACTGCTGCTGTAGCGAACGGGGGTTTCCTCGTGTTCCACGGATTTGGCCGGGAGAAACTGCTTCATTCCTTTCCACCAACCTTCATTGTAGCGGTAAGCAAAAGAGACCATTAAAGAAAAATCTGTTTCTAAAATTGTAACAGTGTATTAACAGAAATTCTGTTGTATTTAACATGTCTAGCTACACTAATAAAAGAGAAACATGGTAATTGGCGTACGACCGCTACCCTTCCCATTGGCTAATCAGCGAGATATGCAAATTAACTGGCAGCCAAGATGGCGGCCGACAGCCAGGCAGCTTGAAACTAACATGAGGCTTGCTTGCCTCAGTGACAGAGGAAACCAATGTTCCCCGCCTGCGGCTGCAGGCCTCTGAGCCTGCAGTTTAAGAAACTATGTAACAAATACCGCCAGACTTCAGCCAGGCACTGC